TGTGTTGTCTAATCGGGACATGGGACTCAAAATTATATTTTCCTAGTTGAGAATCGAGTCACTTTAACCGATAAGAGATGAATTTATTCTCAAAATCTTAGATACCTTGTTTTTACATAGTAAATATTATTATTTATTTCCATCAGTACAAATTATGTCTGAAAATATGTTCGACCAACATAATGATTGTTAAGTGAGTGTACCACATAGTTACCATTTTGTAGTTTACGTGGATAATACCATTATAACGATTGTAAAACTTAAGAGGTGCAAACCAAATGTAGACCAATCGATATTGCATAACAAGTTAGAAAACCAAATTTATGTCACATTGATATAGTGACAAACCTGTAAAAAATCTCGTCATGTACTGTTTTTGTATGAATGACAGTTTAATGTTATTATTTGGTTCGAGTAACTACAACTCATTCTTAAGCTCATTTGAATATATGAATTTTTTCTGTTACACGAATATTTAAATTGGTTTAAATAATGGACAAGTGTTGTATTCATTTCTCTTTGCGTAACTCTAGTGTTTACAGTTAGATTTAAGTAAATTTTTCTCAAACAATTCAAATTGTCCTTGTTATTTCAATTTGGATTGAAGCTAATTTACCTCTCAAAGGAGTATTTACTGTAAAATAAACGTTTTGTTCTAGTACGCTTCCACAACCGTATAGAAAATCAGATTTCAAATCATTGAGCATCATATCAAGTGCGTTAATTAGTTAGAAAAATGTTCAGTTAACTCAGTGATCTAAATATATTGTTTGCCTTGGGAACTGATTGTCTCGTGTTTGGTTCATACCAGGGTACCGGATTACTTTGAGATCTTTTTCCAGGACTAAACAGTTATGATTTGTTTTTCTGGTTACTTACCTGTTACAAAATCATTTACAAATAAAACTATTCTCTAGATAATTAAATAATCAACTCTTAATCAATGTCTTTAATTTTATCATGGCAATCTGCATATTTATTGCGAAATGATTAAAATCAAGTTTGTGTCTTTGATTTCTGATTTTTTTTACCTCTCTGTTGTACTTTTTTTTATTAATATTGTCATTGTCTGTTTTAATCAGTAATGACTGAATCATCAAGTACAGATTTGTATATTTGACTTCACGACTACCCAGTTGACTACAGCGATATAAGTAAAGGAGAGTTCGATTCCGTGATCTAATGATGAAATAATTAAAAATAATTAAACTCTCATTCTAATAGAATCTGTAAAATAGACGCCAATTACACATATTATAGAAGAATGAATATCTTGTTAAAATCTCAACTATCTAACTGAAAATTTATATAAATTAACGAACGTATTCATGCTTGTTTTTGCTTTCTCTATAGGTATTTTTGTTTATTTTATTTTTTGAGAAAAAACACACACTAGTTAATACCTGATTACATTTCTTAATTTTGTACAGTATCAGAATTAAGAAAAACATTCTAATCACATCAGGGTTATTTTCTAGATGACCTTAAATTCATTTTTTCCGCTTTGTGTAGATTACTTATTTTTATTATCAATATGAATTACTTTAATTCCGAATTCACTATTTCTTGGTGTGAATTTTGAGTGCTATTTTTAGGGAAGGTAATAGTTAAGAAATCCGATGAACTGCTAATGATTACTAGGTTAACAGTTATATGTAATTTGTAAACATAAAGTAGAATTAAATATTACACTTTTATTTTCACAGAATTACGATGAAATTTAAAGATTGATCAATTAAAGCGGTAAAATTTCGTTTCACTTTCACATGCCCTTAGTATTATTACAATTATAATAATTTTAATGTTAATACTGTGCTTGAAATAATGGTACTATGTTGAACACATTGGTTAAAAATTACTAATTAGTTCATTATTTAAAAAAAATCCAATGCTTATAAATGTTGTTCTCATGAAAATGTTCAGTTGTGACTACTGTCTTACTGAGGTTAATACAGAAAGAAGAACATAAATTTACTCAAAAAAAATTGTATCGATTAATTTAAGAAAAAAACGGAACTCCAAAAAACCAAAGAAGTAAAATAGATTTAAACAGGTCTCTGTTTTGTATTCAACCTTCGAATATTCCACTTCTACCTGAAGTTTGTACTGACGATTATTGAAAGCCGGATGAATAAACTATCCAATTTAGAGAATAAAATTCAATTTAAAAAATGCACTCGATTTTCTTTATCGATTTGATTGCAGTTAATGAAGCATATATATTAAAAGAAGTACATTGAAATAGTTATTCGTTCGTTGACCAGTTTGTGGAGATAAGCAAAATGTAGAAACTGGTTTTTATTACTCATTAATGTGAATAACACTGTAATAGTAAACTGAAGAGTATACAGAAATGTTAAATCATTCCCAGGTAAATTTTTTTTATTATATGACTTTTGACTCACGTTTTAAACAGTTGAAAAGATGAGAAAACTAAAACTCTGATTACTTACTGCAATCGATAATGGAACAAAGAAAATTGCTTGTATATGTATAAGATTTCCAAGATACTTAATAAATGTTATCATGTTTGTTAGTAAATTTGTGAAATTTAAATAAAGTAAACTGTTTTGAGCCATTGGCGTATACTGCTGCAGAATTTCCAAACAAAACATAATATGAATACTCTGTCGATTTTATTTTTCTAATAGTTTGAAGAGTTTTCAACATTGAATTAGACAGTTACATCTCGCAGAATACAGACAAGTTAAGTATTCTTGTACTTCGTTTTATAGTTTATCATTTTTATCTGAATTAAAGTGATCTCTTCAATTACTCACATAGCTTTACTTACTTGAGTTTATTCAATACAGTAGTATAAGGTAGCCTAAAGATGTTAATCGAAGAAATCGAAGTAATGTAAACAATCAAATAAGTTAACTTATTGATATTCAGCAGATACTTTGAATTTATTTGCTATTTTAAAGAATCAAGTGATATTATGGTTATTTTAAGTGAAGACCTTGAAAATAATTTGATTCCGGAGTTTTTACAGAATAGTTTAATTTGTATTTGATATTCACGATTAATGGATACCAGTTCGTATATCAATGAATAGTATGTGGCAACGAAGATTTCCTTCCTCTGAACATTAAACTTACGACTTTTGGGTCTTCTCGCGTTACATTAACATTCTAATTACTGGTAAATTAACAACTATAGTTTGGTTTTGCTCAATAGTATTATAGTACCGATTCATGATTTCAATGTAAACCTATAGTTTAACTGAGTTTTTGTAGAGATTAATTTAGATTGTAGGTGGTATTAGTCACTTTAGCAGACATCAGACCATGCAGAAACAGTTAACAATCTTCATCTATTTTATTGTAGTATAAAACTATGTTACATTTTTCAGCAACAATCCGTCTTAGATTCGATCTTGAAGCTTGTAAATATCGTATGAACTTACTTACCAACTAACATACATTTGTAACTCTTCGTAGAGCATATGCCACCAACCAGGATCTTCCTATGATTACATTACCTTTATACCACTGGTTTTCATTAGCAGACTATATTATGTAAACTCATGATAAAGTACTAGTTATGTAGTAATTTTTCTCAAATGAACAGTGTAAATAAATTTCTATAATGCAAATCTAAGTGAAAAATCACTCGGTCAATAATTATTTCTTAGGAAAAATAGATCTTACCTACAAAACAGGATATTTATTATGATTTAAATTGACATATTTTTCTTCATAGACCATAAATATTTGTTTCCTTGACATTCTACTCACATTTTATCTTCATAGTGATTTATTTAATCTTGTATTCAGTTTATTTATTATTTAGTGGTTACCTTGATAAAATTTCCTAAACAAAATAGAAAAGAATAATTTGTTTCCGGTCATATTTTTCACAACAGTATTCACTTACTAGACTTACTGTTGTTACTGTAATCGTAGATTATTATGCTCCGAAGATATAAAATTGTGACGAAGAGACATTTAAGCGTACTTTTTGCATTGAATCCAAACAGAGTTGGACATGAGTCGTAGCATGAAATCGACATAAAATCGTAACCATGACAACGGCCGATTGCGTACACAGTCATCCCTTCATGCATGAATACAAATTGTTATGCATTTATTTTTTATGATTGTGAATTTTAATTTCTGTTTTCACTTCTCAAACATAAACAAACAAGATAGACCGGGTGCATAAAAGCTATGATAGCCGGTTTCATCAAGTTTTAACTTGTTGTCAAATAAAAAATCTTTTTGTTTTTTTTTCATTTAAAACCCCCTTTTTTTCTTGACATTAATAATTTACACAACTCATTGTTGATTTTATTTATATTAGAATACAATAATAACCCAATTCTATATGAAACATCATCAGACATTTAGCTTTACTTTCTAATGACTAAAATACCATAAATGCAGATTATTTTTTTATTCGATGTTTTGTGGATTTGTTGACGTTTATATCCACAAACAAACTTAGTTTTAGTAAAGCAACATTTGACATGATACATAGTTTATTTTGTATCATAAGCTTTTAGGCACACCTCATTATTTATATATACACAATGTTTTATGTCAGTTTATTTGTTTTATTTAACTATCCTCAAATATCTGTAATATGATTGGTTGATTTTGTCACTGTCACTTATACTAACATATCTATTAAGAGCTTAAGTTAAATTAATTGATAGATTGATAGACAGGCAAATACAAATTTGAAAAAAAACTGTTTCAATAGGTATGCCTATACATATCACCATAAATTGCAAACAACATGATTGAAATCACCGTGCTAGTGTCAGGATAACATCAAAATGTGTTTTTTGTGTATTTGCAATTCCGATCTTCAATTTTCATTGTCACATTCATACATATGATCACAAATACCTTTATATATATTTTTTTTTAAAAAAAATGATTGATTATAAAAAGTACATTTATGAATAATTTTTTTTCCAACATATTATAGCATACACACAAAAAAAATCCAGAGTATATATATATAAATATATATATATAAATGTTGAAGAAATGCAAAGTGTAAACGGCAAAAAATTCTTCGATTCTACTGATCATATTAATTTCAGTCAATTACCAATTGCTGATCAAGATAATCAAGTAAATTATTATTACACTTACATACTTCATAATAATATGCATAAGTTTTTATTTTTTATTTTTTATTTATTCCATGTTTTTTTTTTGCTGATGGGTAAGTATTCATTCACTGGTTTAATATGTATAAGATCAGAGTAATTGTCAAATTCAATACTGTTTACGAAAACTTTCTACAATTATTGAGTGTTAGCTTGATGCCAAGCTGCTATACAAATGACATTGACTTTTGACTAAGTATGTTTATAACTCCTAAACAGTCAATAGAAAAGTGGGCTATATTATTCAAGTATATTCTAAACAATCTCTCTGGAGAATTATGTACAATCTCTTCTCGATCATGCTCCAACCATACATACAAATACTTTCAGTAATTCACGCTAGGATGTTCACATTTCAGTACATAAGTATACATGCATACTCTTTCAGAAATGCTATGAAACATGAACGAATTAAAGAAAAGAATTTTGTTCAATCATATAAATTGTTTTAATTTACAGAATACAAAGTTTTAATATCTGGACAGGAAACATGTTTTATATAAAAATATATCTCGCTTGAATGACTTGATTGACATGAGTAGACTTGTTTAAATGTACTATTTCAACTGATTTATTATTTTTGCCATGTATTTGTTTACACAGATTTTATTTGTTTACAACTTTCCAACTGATTATTTATTCTCTGAATAATAATAATGATAAATCACACCGACATGGAAAAACATTCAAAATCTAGGCTTTCAATTTATTATAATATTATACAGATAGATTGTTAGTTTTGTTTTTACTTTTCAAAAAAATTTTGTCCAATATTCAATTTATTCGATATTGATCAAGTTCAATATTGGCGGTAATTTCTATCAGCCTACAATCAGGCAGCAGTAATAATAGTTGTTGTGTGCCACAATAAATTTATCAAGAATATTAATTTATAATATGTAATTATAATAAATACATTTGATAAATTCATTAGTTTAGATCTCTAAATCGAAAAACTTTCGAATCTCATTAGATATTCATTAGTTTACTGTCTTCAGTCCATGAACGCCCTGACTGAAAATGCTTAGAAATCCAGTGAGAAAAAATACTATAAACTGGATAATTCTAGTTGAACACCATATTAATAAACTAGTAGAGTTTTCACTATATGTATGTATATAATACAGCATTCATAACCTTGCAGTAGGCTTCATACATTATTTCCCGTTTATCGATTTAAATACATTAGAAACTAATCATTTTAATAGAATTATGTCATTACAGTCTTTTCACAAATTTTCACTCATCTTGTGAAACACATTAAAGTGATTCATAGCCAAAATGAATTCCAACTATTCTTTCACAGTGATTGTTCTATCGCTCATACAGAGTAAATATTGCATACAATAATATTGTTGATTAGAATTCGAACGAGACAGGATTAATTTTTCCCAGTGTTGTTTGTAAATCAATGATTTTCATAGAAATTTATCTCGTTTTATGACGTATTGTATTTGTCTCAGATAAACTCTTAACCCAGAGTCGGTGATAATGTTGAAAACAGTAATAAATAAATGTATCTGTCAGAAAAAAAAAATTTCAAATTTCGAAATTTTCACAAAGTAGTCACAGTCATTTCTACAGAGAGAGAGTGTGTGTGTGAATATCAAAGCAATTTGACGATATTGATACGAAGGAAAATGCGAAAACATTTATGAATTCAAAAATTCCTGTCAAATTGTCAGATTACAATAAAGTAAAAACAAGTGGTACAGTATTTTATTAATCTAGGTTTTAAACTCTCAACTTGTGTTTTTTTAAATTGCACAACAAATTTGACAATTTAAATTATTTCTATATTCTTTCCGATGTTCGAATTTGGTTGTGTTTAATGTGTTAAGGGACTTTTTTTTTCCGTTTATTTAAATAGATAATCGCTGTTTTATTAAAATGTAATTTCAATCAGAGATATTTTAGTTTAAATTTTAAAGTGAACTATATTTAGGTTTTCCATTCTGTCTGTTGTTATATACTGTTGTGTTTAAACCAACTAGTTTTAGATAACTCGAAACTCTTGAAAATCAAACTTTTGCTGAAAAGTACACACGATTCATATTACTCGTGTAAACATTACAGATAAGTTAAATGTGAAAAAACTGATTACATTTAACTGTCGACATTTTTTCATTTAATAAGATGATTCAGCAAATACTGACTGATCAATTCGTTTTATGTAATCACATGAAAATTTTAGTTTAAAACAACAATTTGCCAGAAATTCACTGTGAATTATTTCTTAAATAGATAGTTTCGATAGTTTCTATCATGAACTAAACAGAAAAAAACGTTAAGTAAATAACAGTATTGCAATAATTAGTGTCTTTTTGATTATGAGTTTATTTTGAAAATCTCATGACTACGAGTATAACATACAATCGAGACATTGAAACTGTGCATGCAGAATGATAACAAACCGTCTTCGATTGATCACGTTATCTGACCTGAAGAATTCAACACCACTAAAAAGCATTCATCTAAGCTTGGTCATTGTTATTGTTCAGCTTTATAATATATTCCTTGAATTTTGTGTTTTTTTAGTTTAATTATCAAGGCAATTTTATGAATTATTTTTAAAAATAAATATACAAACTATTGTTATAATTGTTAAATGACGATTACTTACAACTAGTTACTTGATTTAGTACACTGTTCTAGACTGTGAATAGGCGTCGTTGACTATAATAACAAACTATTTAATCTGATATCTTTGAATATAACAAATTAATTTGCTAATAATGATAATAAATATTTCAAGACTTCCACATTAATCTCAAGCTAAGAAATTCTCTAAAATTCATATGCTTGTCACAACTAGTTATCGATGGCAAGCGATGTTTTATGGTGTTGGAGTGGGTTTGAATAAAACTAGGAGCGGCCAAACCAAAACATGGTGCAAATCCATGAAGTCACTGACAAGTGGACTGAGTCATATAGGTAGATGCAGTCTATCTGGTTTGGGTCTGTGAGATGAAAGTCATCGATGGTTAGAGACCTTGAACGACATGGCTCGAAATAGTTTGCAATGGCACAGGTGAATTCATCCTTTGTCTTCTATCAAATTCTAACCTTCTGAATTCCTCATCACTTCTATCTTTCTCTTTCTAAATTTATCTCACTGAATTTTACTTCTTGAATATTATCTTCAAATCCTAATCTTCTCGATTACCAGTAATACTTTTACTATCTCTACTACTATGTGATTTGACTTGACAATTGCGTCTTTGTGGTAATGTGGTATGACAACCTGAACTGATTCACGTGCATAAGAAGTTCTACGTTGTAACTGACTGACTAATTGAGTTATCAATAGTGTCATTGTGACATTGTACTGAAATTCAGTATTATAGTCAGTTTTATTGCATATTACTTAGAACTCTGATTTTTCAAATAATGATTACTGCAGATTAACATAGATTTCATTTTAGTACTCAAAAATTTTATTCAACCAGTTCTAACCATTTGACACACTCGTACAAACAAACTATACTTGATCGTTTTTTATTTCTTCTCTGTGAATCATTGTAATTTTGCAGTTTTGTAGCTGTGTATCCGAAAGTTTTGCTTTGATTAAACTTATTACGATTGTTATAGTTTTTGTACTGGCGAATAGTTCGATCTATAGTTTACTTCATGGATTAACCACATAGTTAAATAAATATTACACATGAAAATTAACTATATTGATAAAAATCTGATACTTTCATATAATAAATTCTAGTTGACTAGACACTAAAATTGTATTTTATTATAGTTTTCAATCATTTAATTATTGTTGACAATTATAGGGTGTTGATTTTACAATCATTATAAAGTGTAATTACTCATCCAACATATAAAGCGACAGTCATTCATTAAAATTGTACATGTTTCTTTGTAAGTCAATTCACATTCTCTATTTTATCTTGTTTTATTAAATTAAAGTAAATGTCTAATTTAAAATTGTTTTTGTTGTTGTTTCAATTGTCTATGTGTATGTGTGTGTGCTTATACAAGTGTGTATCTATTCATTCTTTTACACTAGTTTGTTTATTGTATATTAAAAGTCTTCAACTATTCTGTAAATAATTTCTAATTCTGAATAGATCTCCTGTGGGGCTATGATTGTATCTTAGTTTGCAGAAGTTAATGAATAGGAAAAATATCAATACTGGCTATTAATATTAATGAATGTGATTGATTGGAGTATATTTTATCTTCACTGATTCAGCATATATTTGTATATTTGACAATAAGTTTATTTGACAAGATACTGCAGTCAATTAAATGTTTTATTTCTATATACATTTTAATTTTAAAATATTTATCGATAAAATTAATATACAGATTTGAATAAAATTTGTTTATTCAGTAAGAAAAAAATTTTCTCCACATCTTGTCTTAATGATTTTTTTTGGTTAAAATGTTCGAATACTGAATCGATTGCAAGTTTTTTTTTAAAATTAATATTCAGCATTTACTTGTATCCGAAAAGAAATCAGTTACAGTGTAAATGTTTCTTAATTGTGATCTGTGATGGTGAGGTTCTGAGAAATATTGCAAATAATCAGTGCTATTAACGATTACAAATTCGTCTTGTGTTGATGATCGTCAGCTGATATGAAATCGACACCTCGAGTTTTCCGAGGTGATGAGCCAATCAGAAGTGGCCAAATGAGTAGTCATTTGATGACAATTAGAAATGTTCTAGACGACAAATACTTACCATTAGTTAAGAAGTGACTTCTTTTTTCAAGTCAATGAAATATATACATATATACATGGTAGCTAGCTGTAAAATTCAGAATGTATTTTTCGTCCTACTTGATATCTGTCAGTTTTATGTGCATGAATTTCAAAGTTGATGTTCACTTTGATTCACTTACCTCTAGTCTCAGTTAAAAATTAACTCTGGGATGTAAATACATTGAGCTAACGAGCCTTAAAAACGACAAAATGCGGTTCCCGGGTTCTACTGGTAACCAC